TACCCTGTGGTGAGTTAGCCTGTGATGGGTTGGCCTGTGATGGGTTAGCCTGTGATGAGTTAGCCTGTGATGGGTTAGCCTGTGATGAGTTAGCCTGTGATGGGTTAGCCTGTAATGAGTTAGCCTGTGATGAGTTTGCCTGTGATGAGTTAGTCTGTGATGGGTTAGCCTGTGATGAGTTAGCCTGTGATGGGTTAGCCTGTGATGAGTTAGTCTGTAATGAGTGAGCCTGTGATGAGTTAGCCTGTGATGAGTTAGCCTGTGATGGGTTAGCCTGTGATGAGTTAGCCTGTGATGGGTTAGCCTGTAATGAGTTAGCCTGTGATGAGTTTGCCTGTGATGGGTTAGCCATGTTTACTAATTAGAGGAAATGTTCTGGTTGTGTTTTGCTTAATTGCTATTTTTTTATTGTGGGATTGATTTCACTACAGATTTCACAGATGAAAACAACAACTAACAAACAAAACCATGTTTTTATTGAAACTGGTTTATTAGTAAACATTGAGGTTTCAGCTCACAGCAAGCTGAATGGCTCAGACTGCAGTGGTTACCATAGAGATGAGACAGTAATAACCTGATCCCTGATGAAAAGTGGAAAACAAAACAACACAAAAGCTCAAACACTCAAAAAACAAACATGTTAAAGAATCAGCAAGTTAAAGTAACAGAGCATCTGTGGCTGAACTGCACAGCTTAAAACCATCTGTACACGGTGTTCACAGGAACTCTGTGCAGCAGCACAGTCAGTCCGTCAGCAGCACAGTCGGTACATTAGCAGCACAGTCGATCCATCAGCAGCACAGTCGGTACATTAGCAGCACAGTCGATCCATCAGCAGCACAGTCAGTCCATTAGCAGCACAGTCAGTACATTAGCAGCACAGTCGGTCCATTAGCAGCACAGTCAGTACATTAGCAGCACAGTCGATCCATCAGCAGCACAGTCAGTACATTAGCAGCACAGTCGATCCATCAGCAGCACAGTCAGTCCATTAGCAGCACAGTCAGTACATTAGCAGCACAGTCGGTCCATTAGCAGCACAGTCAGTACATTAGCAGCACAGTCGATCCATCAGCAGCACAGTCGGTACATTAGCAGCACAGTCGATCCATTAGCAGCACAGTTGGTGCATTAGCAGCACAGTAAGTACATTAGCAGCATAGTCGGTCTGTCAGAAGCACAGTTGGTCCGTCAGCAGCACAGTCAGGCCATCAGCAGCACAGTCGGTACATTAGCAGCACAGTCGGTCACAGTCGGTCCGTCAGCAGCACAGTCGGTGCATTAGCAGCACAGTCAGTCCGTCAGCAGCACAGTCGGTCCGTCAGCAGCACAGTCGGTGCATTAGCAGCACAGTCGGTCCATCAGCAGCACAGTCGGTGCATTAGCAGCACAGTCGGTCTGTCAGCAGCACAGTCGGTCCGTCAGCAGCACAGTCGGTCCGTCAGCAGCACAGTCGGGACATTAGCAGCACAGTCGGGGTCCATCAGCAGCACAATTGGTCTGTTAGCAGCACAGTCAGTCCATTAGTAATACACAGCAGTTCCACTAGCAATATTGACGGTCCGTTAGCACAGTCGGTCCGTTACAAGTACAATCAGTTCATTAGCAATACACTCAGTGTGTTATCAATCAATCAATCAATCAATCAAACTCGGAAGTACATCGAGGGTGACCCTCATTTACAAAGTAACTGAGCAAGTTAAACAGAGATTTTAAAAAATGGTAAAATTAAATTTATCAACTAAAACAAATCAAACTTAGTGAGATTTATATATAAGATTTATCAAGAAATAAAAAAGCTCAAATAAGAAACAAGCATGAAACAGCAATAAAGTATGTAATGAAAGCAAATTAAAAGTAAAAGAACCAACAAAGATGATGAGCTATAAGAAAAAAGTAAAAATGTTTGAAATAAAATTACTCAATAAAATAAAAAAGAACAGTAAAAGAACAAACATCAAATAAAACGGCTGCAATAGAACAGTGAAATAAAACACAGTAAAACAGAGCAGAAAGTGACGCCAGCGAGAGGAGCTGCAGAGTGTCTGCAGAGTGTCTGCAGAGTGTCTGCAGAGTGTTTGCAGTGTCTGTAGTGAATTCCAGCTGCAGGTAAAGCAGATTTTGCAGTTAGGGACTGCGAGAAAAGTCGGCTCATTCAGCCTGATTCCCTCGTTCTGTTTAGGTTGTGATATTGTGATGAGGTCACTTTGAAGGTGCTCTCGTTACCAAATCATAGACTGAAACTAAATTAATCATTTAAAAACATTAAGATCTCTTTAATGTTCTTATCACTAACAGATCACTCCATTCCTCGCGTCTGAGCATTCACAGTCGCACTTTACACCTCTGTGTGAACATTCATTTAATCAAGTGTTTCCAGTGGATCAGTAATCGTTTACTCTGGCCTCTGCTCATATCTTCAGGTCATCCAGCCTGGTCTTGTTGTTGCTATAGCGACTGGCATAGCTGGGCCGGCGCTGGTTGTATGGGGATCCGGGGGCAGAACTTGAGGTCTTCTTCACTCTTGTGGGTTCTGTGGCGACGGCATCAGGTTTGGTCTCCATGGCCATCGTGTCCGGCTTGGTTTCCATGGTATCTGTGGTAGCAGGCCTGCCTCCGCTGCGCTCCACAGCGAGGTTCTGGCGGTTCTGCTTGTAGGCGGGGAATGTGGCGTCGATGTCCGGGATCTTGTACTGGTGCTCGGGCGGGTGGGCGGGGTAGTAGGGGAAACTGGCCACGAACGGCACCACGGTGTCGTCACCGGGGTGTCCGGCGTGTTTGCGGGCATGGGAGCGGCGGTAGCGGAGCCCCTGCCTGCACTTGGTGAAGCCCAGGTGGTACATCTCCACCAGGTTCAGCAGCAGCGACACGCAGGCCACGGCCAGCATGAACAGAATAAAGATGGTTTTCTCGGTCGGGCGAGAGATGTAGCAGTTGACGGTGTTCGGACACGGCCAGCTGCTGCATGTGTACATGGGCTTCAGCTGGAATCCGTACAGGAAGTACTGCGCCACCAGGAAGCCCACCTCCATCAGCGTCTTAAAGATGACGTTCAGCACGTAGGTGCGCAGCAGTGCCCCCTGCAGATGGATCCTCCCCCGTTCATCCAGTACCGGAGGCTTCTTGACTTTTCCGGCCTGAATTAACGCCTGTTTCTCTGAAAGTTCAGAATTTCCCTGCTCCCTCTTCTGCTTCTGCTTCTCCTCCATCCTCACCAGGTGCAGGATGTGGCCCAGGTAGATGAGCGTCGGCACGGAGACAAAGATGATCTGCATCACCCAGAAGCGAATGTGGGAGATGGGGAAGGTTTTGTCATAACAGACGTTCTGACAACCGGGCTGTTTAGTATCGCAGGTAAAGCCCGACTGTTCATCGCCCCAAACCTTCTCAGCTGCTGCCCCTAGAACCAGAATACGGAAGATGAAGAGAACGGTCAGCCAGACTTTCCCAACAACCGTGGAGTGCTCCTGAGCCTTCTCCAGCAGTTTACCCAGAGAACTAAAGTCCCCCATCTCCACACACGACTGACCACACAGACAGAGAGAGAACAACAGGACAGGAAGAGAACCTGAGAGAACGAGAAAGAGAAAGAGAGAGAAACAAAGTTACGCTTCTCTTCCTGTAAAGACGTATCAGTAATGAACGTGTAGGCAGCAACAGTGTCGGTAATGAGCGGATAGGCAGTAACAGCGTTAGTAATGAACATGTAGAAAGTTTCGGTAATGACATAGAATCTACATGAATATGTAGAGAGTAACAGTGTCATCAATGAATGTCTCTAGTGTAATGGTTTCAGTAATGAATGTATAGACAGTAACAATGGTGGTAATGAACTTATAAAATGTAGCCATTTAGTAATGAACATGCTGAGTAATGGTGTTTCAGTAATGAATGTTTAGGGTGTAACAGTGTTCAGAATGATCATACAGACAGTAATGGTGTTTCGGTAATGAGTGTGTAGAGTGTAACAGTGTTAAGAATGAACATGCAGACAGTAATGGTGTAATGAACATGTAGAGTGTAACAGTGTTGAGAATGATCATACAGATAGTGTTTCAGTAATGAACGTGTAGAGTTAAACAGTGCAGGTAATGAAGCATTAAAGCGACTTCACTCTACAGTCAGGCCTGTAACCTCTTAGTTACATTTTTGATGATCATCAACCCAGGAGCATCTTACATTTTGTTATATTCAAAATATCTGGATATAATATGTTTTGATAAGGCTGTAAATTAAATATAATAGATATAATAAACACAAGTGTTATATTATCAAGAATAACGTAAACTAATCAGAGCTGGCTGACCACTCTCTAACACTTTGGGCTTATGGGGCTGAATAGTGTCCAGTGTCCACTCTTCAGATGTCAGTGCTGAAAACGTAGAGACTGTCTAAACTGAGAGATGGACAGAAGGAGAACTTGACAGGTCGGGGTCAGGGGTGAAAGGTCAGCATCAGTGTGAAACATTAGGATAATGTTTCAGTTGGAATCTGACAGTCAATCACTGAAACATACAGATCAGAGCTGAGATACAGTCAGATTAATATTACAGTCAGAAACAGATCAACATTACAATATTACACTCTCAGTCAGTGTCTGTTAGCAGACGTTAACTTAGACTGAGCTTTAATGGTCAGCTGTAAGACACTGCTTACACACACACACACACACACACACACACACACTCACACACACACACACACACACACACACACTCTGGTTCTGATGGTCAGTGTGTTTAGTTGTGCTGAGTGTTTCTGGTGTGTTGATGTGATTATTCAGTTGTTTATTTATTGTTTATTCATGATGTTTACATGTACTGTATATTTGGAGAGACTGTGTGATGTTTGATTGACAGCTCCTCATGCCTGTGCGTGACCTTAAACAGGTGGACATACTCAGACAACCCATACACACACACACACACACACACACACACACACACACACACACACTGTAAGCTGTAAATATCCACTAGTGTTGTCACCAGTCACGTCAGAGTCATGTGGTCATGTGACTGTCTGTGTCAGCAGGAGTAGTAACTGTAATGATTAATCTACAAATGAGTTACTGTAATGACTAATCTATAGCAAAGTTACTGTAATGACTAATCCACAGATGAGTTACTGTAATAACTAATCTATAGCAAAGTTACTGTAATGACTGATATATAGAGGAGTTGCTGTAATGATTAATCTACAGAGGAGCTACTATAATGACAAATTTATAGAGGAGTAACTGTAATGACTAATCTAGGAATTAGTTACTGTAATGACTAATCTATAGCAAAGTTACTGTAATGACTAATATATAGAGGAGATACTGTAATGACTGATATATAAAAGAGTTACTGTATTGGCTGATCTATAGAGGAGTTACTGTAATGACTAATCTATAGTGAAGTTACTGTAATGACTAATATATAGAGGAGTTACTGTAATGACTGATATATAAAAGAGTTACTGTAATGATTAATCTATAGTGAAGTTATTGTAATGACTAATCTATAGAGAAGTTACTGTAATGACTAATATATAGAGGAATTACTTTAATGACTAATCTACAAAGGAGTTACTGCAGTGATTAATCTATAGAGAAGTTACTGTAATGACTAATATATAGAGGAATTACCGTACTGCCTAATCTATAGTGAAGTTATTATAATGACTAATCTATAGAAGAGTTACTGTACTGACTAATCTATAGAGAAGCTACTGTAATGACTAATATATAGAGGAGCTACTGTAAAGCTAAACTATCATGATTAAACAATAGAGGAGTTACTGTAATGACTAATCTATAGAGGAGTTACTATACTGACTAATCTATAGAGAAGCTACTGTAATGATTAATATATAGAGGAGCTACTGTAAAGCTAAACTATCATGATTAAACAATAGAGGAGTTACTGTAATGACTGATCTGCAGAGGAGTTACTGTAATAAGTCATCTATAGAAGAGTTACTGTAATGACTAATCTATAGTGGTGTTACTGTAATGACTGATCTGTAGAGGAGTTACTGTAATGACTGATTTACAGAGGAGTTACTGTAATGACTGATCTATAGAGGAGTTACTGTAATGACTAATCTACAGAGGAGTTACTGTAATGACTGATTTACAGAGGAGTTACTGTAATGACTGATCTATAGAGGAGTTACTGTAATGACTGATCTACAGAGGAGTTACTGTAATGGCTGATTTACAGAGGAGTTACTGTAATGACTGATCTATAGAGGAGTTACTGTAATGACTGATCTACAGAGGAGTTACTGTAATGACTGATTTACAGAGGAGTTACTGTAATGACTGATCTGTAGAGGAGTTACTGTAATGACTGATTTACAGAGGAGTTACTGTAATGACTGATCTACAGAGGAGTTACTGTAATAACTAACAGGAGCTGTCAATCAAACATCACACATCAACCCAAATATACAATAAAATAAAACATAATAAATAAATAATAAACAAACAAGTGAATAATCACACCAACACACCAGAAACACATCAGTACAACTAAACACTAAATGTGTGTGAGTGCGTGTGTGTGTGTGTGTGTGTGTGTGTGTGTGTGAGTGTGTGTGTGTGTGTGTGTGTGTGTGTGTGTGGAACACATTACATTACATTAGTATACATTATATGAATATTTATTCATGTAATGACTGTGAATTTGTTATTTTATTATATTTGAATAAATGGAAATAATATATATTTTTCTATTATCGTGATCAGACAGTAACCTAAGCAGTTTGAATAATAATGAATGTAGATATAATATTGTTCTATTAACCTGCACTGAAAGTAAAGAGTGTTTTGAGATCTGAGAAGCGACAGCGGCGCCGTGTTCATCGCCGATTACTGAACATGTTTACCGAGTATTTCAGTGTGATTGTGTTGCTGTACTGTTAACATACAGTGACGCTTCATATGCGGAAGTGTGAACCCTCAGTCAGATTAACACGTTCTGTTGATGTTCTGAGTGTGAATAAATGAATTTTACTTCAGAATTTCTATTTATGTGAGTTTATCGTAGCAGGGAAACGTATAAAATGGGCACAAAGTTATTGTTTTAATATTTCCCCCAGTGAGTTAAATTCAGTAAATAAACACTGAGTGTGTATTAAAGTGTGTCTGTAGAGGATCTGTAACTTATTTACACTCAGAGAATCAACAACACCATGGAATTTGAGCGGGGGTGCACAAACTTCTGCACGTGGCTGTAGTTACAGTGTTAGCGTAGCGCTGAGTTAGCGAGTCAGGAGAGTAACGATGTCCTTATGTTTGAGAGTCACTCAGTTACAGTGTTTTATATATTCATGTGTGTGTGTGTGTGTGTGTGTGTGTGTGTGTGCGTGTGTGTGTGTGTGTGTGTGTAACAGAGACTTACCTTCAGTGTGTGTTCACTTCCAGCGCAGGAGCCCTCACACACTCACACCCTCACACTCACACACACTCGCTCAGACTGACTCACTGAGAGACTCACAGAGACTTTAAACACACTGACCGCACGCGCGTGTGTGTTTATATATACATATGTGTGTGTGTGTGTGTGTGTGTGTGTGTGTGTGAGGTTATATTTGGAGCAGAACACACTCTTGGGTGAAGTTTGAAGAAGCCCCGCCTCCTTTCTCCCTCAGTGCTGACTGACAGCTGGCTGAGCCAATCAGAACACAGCTGTGAGAGTTCAGCTAAATGTACTCTCAAACACTAAACACATCCAAACACACCACATCACTGTCTGTCTCTCACTGTACACCACTGTCTGTCTCTTACTGTCTGTCCATAACTGTCTGTCCCTAACTGTCCATAACTGTCTGTCCCTAACTGTCCATCACTGTCTTTTAGTCACCATTTGTTCATAACTGTTTGTCCATCACTGTCCATAACTCTGTCCGTCACTGTCTATCACCTTCTGTCCCTAACTGTATGTCCATCACTGTCTGTCCATTACTGTCTGTTCTAGATGTTAGCTAAGTAAAAGGTACAAACAGTAAATTATTGAGTGTAATATGATGGTAGGTTCCGAGACAGTTTAAGTAAATTACGCTGAAATTCCCTATAGGTTCTAGATAGTATGCGGTTAAGTGTGTAGAACTCCACAGTACTAATTGTGTAATTATTTTGGGTATAAGTGACGTAAATGTAAATTGTAGATGAATAAAGTACAGAGTCGTATACAGTCTGAATCTGTTTATGAGCTATAAACTAAACTGAATTTGGGCTGGAAAAGAGCAGTGAGTCTTTCTGTGGTTCTACTGGGTTCTCACGGTTCACTTCACAAAACTGTCTTTATATTTGTGCTGTTATTTTACACCATATAACTGCCTGCTAAGCAGAGGAGCTTCTGATTTACTGTCCTGCTTAAACGTGAGACACTACAGTGAACTTTATTTATGTTTATAATGACCACTTTATTACTCCAAACAATTATGGGATGTCATTTATCAGTTTAATATCTAGAACCTCTTTTCAGTGTAATTCAGCGTCAATTTTCTACCCAAAAACACTTCGTTAATATCTAAATATCTGTCTAAATCTATACTGTCAGTCATTTAAACTGTCTTTGAACTTTTCACCATGATACCCAAAAATTATTATCTAATACTTTGGAGTTTGTATCTCATAGTTACCTGGTAAATACTTAGAACTTTAAAAGGAAGTCTTACCAAAAATAGCGCCATGTAGCAGCTAATACTGAGTTCACTGCATCATACATCATCTCGGTCTCTAATGATTTAATCAAACAAAGCTTTTAGATTTAGTGAATTTATCAGGTTCAGTATCAGACAATTATCAGGTTCAGTATCAGATAATTATCAGGTTCAGTATCAGATAATTACCTCTGCTCAAACTGTTTCACAGATAAAGCACACAAGAGGAAACAATGCTAGGCTAGTAGTGTTAGCTAACAGACGATTAGCACCTCTAGAGATTTTAGACTTTCTGTCTGATCTGTGGCTTTTTGTTCTCGTATTCTGGGTTTAATTTAGCTCAGTATTTAACACAGTAACGGCGAAACGCTGAGTAACACACGGAGAAACCGACAGGTGCTGTTCAGACACTGAGAACTGATCCTTTTCCTGAAAGGAGTGATAACAGAAAGGGTTTATTTGTGTGCTAGCAGTTCAAAGCTAACCAACAAGTGATGGAATCTTATAGCCCATCAATTAGCATGATGCTAACTGCATGCACACACTGACCTCAAACGTCTCAGTGAAGTTGTCCTCCTGTTTGGATCCTCCGTTCCGCCTTAAATGGTGCAGCAGTTACAGCAGCAGCTCCCAGGCGCCAGAATGTAACTGTTACACCATTTAAGGTGGAACAGAGAATAAGAAGCTGGCGAATAGAAGGCCAACTTCAGCTTTGTGTCTCAGTCTGTGTGGAGCTGATCGGTTTGATCAGTAATATCTAATGGAATTGATTATGTGGCTCCTGATACTGACACACGTCTACAAACGTGGACAGATGGACGGACGTGTCCTAATTCTGCTACAGTAAAACATTCCTGTCCTGCTCTAACGCACCTGATGAAACTCGTCACCTCATTAGACCTCACAGTCTTAAAAAAAGTCATAACCCTGATCTCCGACCCTGACCCCTGCCCTTTGTTCTGACCCCGCCCCCTCTCGGTCACTCTCTCACCTTCCTGCTGCCTCTAATGACCAAAAACCATCGCCGTATGAACGTGTGAATTCCTGCGCTGAGACAGTCTGTCTAATATTACTGTGGAGCCGAACAGCCTCTCAGCACTGTTTCACTGTTCTAAGGACACCTGTCTAGAACCCTCTACTGCTGCATGACTGAGTCACTGAGTCTTTAAATCACTCCTACTTAAACCACTAATCCACTGAATCATCTCCACTGATCTGCTGAATCACTGAACCATTAAACCACTCCCACTGAATCCCACTGACCCACTGAAATACTGATTCAGTCCCACTGACCCACTGATTCAGTCCCACTGACCCACTGAATCACTGATTCACTCCCACTGACCCACTGAATCACTGTTTCACTCCCATTGACCCACTGAATCACTGAACCATTAAACCACTCCCCCTGAATCCCACTGACCCACTGAAATACTGATTCACTCCCACTGATCCACTGAAATAGTGATTCACTTCCACTGATGCACTGGAACACTGATTCACTCCCACTGATCTGCTGAATCACTCATTTAGTCCCACTGACCCACTGAAGTCCTAATTGACTCCCACTGACCCACTGAATCACTGATTCACTCCCACTGACCCACTGAAATTCTGATTCACTCGCACCGACCCACTAAATCACTGATTCACTCCCACTGATACACTGAATCACTGATTCACTCCCACTGACCCACTGAATTACTAAATCATTAAATCACTCCCACTAAAACCCACTGACCCAATTAATCACTTCCACTGGCCCACTGAAATGCTGAATCACTCCCACTGATTCACTGAATAACTAAAGCATTAAAACACTCCCTCTGAATCCCACTGAGCCACTGATTCACTCCCACTGACCCCACTGAATCACTCCCACTGAATCCCACAGACATCACAGTACAGTAATATTATCAGATCCTGATCAGACGGCACAAAGCAGTACATTAAACAAAGACTTTTTATTTGAACATCTTTAATTTACATAACGAACCTTCATTAATATACATTTAATCATTTTTATTAACCACAGAATATGAACTTGATTTAGTAGTTTAAAAGAACGTGGGGTTTTATTATCTGTAAAGGCAACGATGCTGTTAGTAGAGTTCAGCAGGATTTCTCAGTTAACCAGGTAAAGTAAGCCGGTCAGGCCTGTCCAGTAAGAGAGTTTCTACTGGACGAAGTTTTCCAGCTTTACTGAGGAATCCTGCACTGCTGTTTGTGCGGCTGGGTGTGATTTTGTGGTTTGAGTGAATATAAAAACTGTAAAAAACACTGAGTTACTGCTGCAGTACTGGAAGTGGCCTGCAGGGGGTGGAGTCTCACTCACTGACCATCTAAACAGCCCGAAACTGGAGCTGCAGTCCATTCCTCAGCTTCCTCAGCTTCCTCAGTCGTGAGTTTCCACATTTAGAGCTCAGAGCTCAGTCAGAGCTTCGTCACCGTCAGAGACACAAACAGATTCACAGCAGAGCAGCTTTAATTCAGTAAAATAACGGTTAGATTTCATCTGCAGGGTTTGGTTCTCTCTGTGGTTTAGAATCTCCTCTAAATATGTGGATATCCTGTCCACTCTGCTGTCCACTCAGCTGTCCGCTCTGCAGGACACAGTCAGACAGACTGGACTGCATTATAAACCTGAGCCCCCCTGAATCCCCTTTAACCAGCACGCTGAGGGGGTCCCACAGCGTCAGAGAGAGAGAGAGAGAGAGAGAGAGAGAGAGAGAGAAAGAGAGAGAGAGAGAGAGAGAGAGTACAGAAAGAGAGGGAGAGTAGTAGAGAGAGAGAGAGAAAGGAAGAGAGAGAGAGAGAGAGAGTAGTAGAGAGAGAGAGAAAGGAAGAGAGAGAGAGAGTAGTAGGAAGAGAGAGAGAGAGAGAGTAGTAGAGAGAGAGAGAAAGGAAGAGAGAGAGGGAGAGTAGTAGAGAGAGAGAGAAAGGAAGAGAGAGAGAGAGTAGTAGAGAGAGAGAGTACAGAGAGAGAGAGAGAGAGAGTAGTAGAGAGAGAGAGAAAGGAAGAGAGAGAGAGAGTAGTAGAGAGAGAGAGAAAGGAAGAGAGAGAGAGAGTAGTAGAGAGAGAGAGAGTAGTAGAGAGAGAGAGAAAGGAAGAGAGAGAGAGAGTAGTAGAGAGAGAGAGAGTAGTAGAGAGAGAGAGAAAGGAAGAGAGAGAGAGAGTAGTAGAGAGAGAGAGAAAGGAAGAGAGAGAGAGAGAGAGTAGTAGAGAGAGAGAGAAAGGAAGAGAGAGAGAGAGTAGTAGAGAGAGAGAGTACAGAGAGAGAGAGAGAGAGTAGTAGAGAGAGAGAGAAAGGAAGAGAGAGAGAGAGTAGTAGAGAGAGAGAGAAAGGAAGAGAGAGAGGGAGAGTAGTAGAGAGAGAGAGAAAGGAAGAGAGAGAGAGAGTAGTAGAGAGAGAGTACAGAGAGAGAGAGAGAGAGAGAGTAGTAGAGAGAGAGAGAAAGGAAGAGAGAGAGAGAAAGGAAGAGAGAGAGAGAGTAGTAGAGAGAGAGAGAGAGAGTAGTAGAGAGAGAGAGAAAGGAAGAGAGAGAGAGAGTAGTAGAGAGAGAGAGAAAGGAAGAGAGAGAGAGAGAGAGTAGTAGAGAGAGAGAGAAAGGAAGAGAGAGAGAGAGTAGTAGAGAGAGAGAGAAAGGAAGAGAGAGAGAGAGTAGTAGAGAGAGAGAGTACAGAGAGAGAGAGAGAGAGTACAGAGAGAGAGGGAGAGAGAGCGTATGGGGGGAGGGGTGTTCTTGTCTGAAATTTCGGTAAAAAATGAAAATCTACTCGACTGTAAAACAATTACAACAATAATCAGTTTTATAAATGTAATTAAACTGTTGTTGATGTTATT